TAGGCACAATGCTAAGTAGTGAGGGAATATGCTACTTACTAGGTGTTCACCTTGTCCCTGTCTCACATACTTCCAATTTTTTTTTCATGCATTAGTGGAGCTTGAAAAAAAATAACCCTTGTATTAAAAGACATGATGTCTTTGGTTGATAGTTGCCACAAGTTATCAAGCACCATCTCCATTGATGTTGTGTTCAAGTAGTCCCACTCACTTGATATAATACAACAGAATGGTTACAGTCTGAAAAATACCCTGGATGAAACTTCCTCAATGTATGACATTTGGTGCAAGCTTTTCAATATATTGATAGAATATATATTTATGTATTGATATATTAATAGAATGAAGATGTTTCATTACTACCAGGAGATGATATCTCATTAATTAATTAAGATATCTACTTATAATTTATTGCAATACTTTTATAAAATTTGCAGTGCTTCATGTATTTCATGGCAGAATATAGCTGAAACATTGAGCACTAAATTTTTTGATACTCTGTACATAAAGGCTAATGATGAAAAAGAACCTTCTGTTGCCAAATATCTTAATGTTTGCAATTTTAATTTGGCTGACAATGCTTTTTTCACAATTGTGTGTTGTTTTTATATCTTATCCTTAATTTTTGAGAGAGATTCATTAAATTTGTCTTTATTCATTTTTAAATGAGTACGAAAAGCTTAGCCATACAACTGTTTATTGGCATTACAGAAAAGGATGTATTTCGAAATAAATCTTTCTCTGTAATGTAAATAGACAGTTGTGTGACTAAGCTTTTTGTAACAGTATTTTGGTATCTAGCGTTGTTTATATTTTATTGCTTTAAATGATTTCTGAATGCATTCTTGCAAGAGCATGGAACTTCTAAATAATTCCTACAAAAATCCAACTTCTTACCTAGCAATGATGCTTTATGTCTTTTTTGGCAGTGTCAATTAAGTTTTGTCAAATCCCATCCTGAGAACATCACAGAATGTACTGAGAGATGCTCTAACATTATTTGTTGCCATTTTGAATTGCAACTTTCAGTTATAGGTTAAATGTGAGAACAAGTTATTGGTTAAATTAAAGTTTCAATAGTCTTTCAACTGTTGCACAATAAAAACATCTCTTAACATTCAATGTGTGGTTTATGGACAATTTTCAAATAAAATATATTTTAAGTGTAAATTATTTTTGAAAAGTATTCCAAATAAAACATATTAATAATTAAAATATCTAATGTTGAAATAGTACCTTGATCGAAAATACGGTTGAAATTATAAGTTTTTATATAAGACCAAAAATTCTTCAAGGTTTTCATTTATATGCATTTTTTAATTAAAAAAACTTATTAGACCATCTAGATACTTTTTCTACAGAATCTTCTAATTAAAAGTTTATCAGCTGATGTACTTTGCATATATATTTGTGATTTAGAAGTAACTGAACATGCAGTTTCAATCCAGTTTTAACTGACAGACATTTTAATTCATTTTTGGACAACCTATTTGTATTTTAATATAAAATACTAACTGCTTACAAAGTGTTCTTAAGAATCTAAAAATATTTTCATTAATTAAAGATTCAATGATTAATTCTCTTAAAAGAAATGAACAAATAGAATAATTTGGAACCATATCTGGTACAATTTTTATATTAGAATATGAAATGAAATGAACTTGTGAATGGTGGAATATTTAAACTTTTGATTTTATGCATAACATTTTTTACTTTTTAATTACCTTAATCTACAGGATTTCCCATAGGAGTTATATTGATCTTTGATTATTCTTTTACAGGTGAAGCATAGTATTGAGTAAAGAGGAATGAATCTAATTTATTTTTATGGAGGAGACCTGCAATTAGTTTGGACCAAAGGCTGCAACCCAGACTGCTGTATGTGATTGGTGGGGAGTGCAGCCTGTTAAATTCTTCAGTGACTTTATGCTGACTGTGGGTCCCCACCATCAAAATAACCTGAATTCATTCTTTCTTATTCTGTGCCATACTTTACGGCATTGCCAACTATTTGGAATTTTACTTATTTTTTAAAAATTGTTTGAAAAATGAAAACTATTCAGAAATGTCCTAAAAATGAATGGAGTTGTGTGTTTTTGTTTCAGCTTGTCCCTTTATCTATGTGAGAAGTCTGCATCCCTAATTTTATTCTAAATTATTTCCATTCCCATTAGGTTAAATTTTGTCTCTTTTTACCCTGTGAGCACTAAAAAGGCCTGCTTTAATCATACCCATTGTGAGTTTGGCCAGGCCAGAGTGGTGAGTGATGGGGCAAACTGTGCATGAAAAATTCTTGAGGTTGCTCCTCTTAATTTGATTCTGAGTACCCAAAGTGGTAAAATGGAACCTTAACTGCATTGGCCATCTAGATTTAGAAGGAAAGTTTTCTTTTACTTATTACTGTTTCAAGTAGGTGTTTTTAGATACTATGATTTGAATTTGTTACTCTGAAAGTTAGCAACCTTATAGTTTACCTGTAATAGAATAAATAAAAATTAATACAATTTCTATAGTTCCAGACTTATGGGATATTGTGTATAATTCTGCTATATAATTTTTTGCTAGAAATAAAATTTATTGATATTAGTAAAACATTTAATGTGAAATAGTTTTGATGTCAGTTATTAAATTTAAATATTTGATAGTTTTACATTTATTTAATAATAAATTTATTTTTTGGATTCTGTTTTTAAATATTTACAAACTTCTATTCAAAATAGGTGACTATTTGTATTATAGTAATAACACAAAAAATAATTACTTATAGTGATATATTTGAGTATCATTAAAAAACTGAAAATCTTCCTAAATAAAATTAATTTCAACTTTTTATAATTATGAAGTGAAAGGTAATTAGATTCAAGAACAAATTAATAACATATTTGTATTTTTAATTTTAATTTCAATTCTTTCTGCCCTATGAGAACTTTGTTTCATATCCATCATAGGTCTGGTCAGATCCACAATATAGGTAGACATCTACTGTACTAAGAGATCAGGTCAATTCACCCATAAAAAAATTTGAGCATTCCATACAAACATGGCTTCCAAGAACAGTAACCTCAAACAGTGCTCTGAATACCTAGTAGTTCCTTTACTGCCTCAGCTGTCATTTTTAGTTTGCTCAAATTATACATTTAAAATTGTTTCATATTTAGAGTTAAGTTTTATTTCATTATAGGCTACGTATAGACATAAATATTAACATTAAAGAGAAACTGGCCATTTTCCATTTCTTGTTCTTTGGCTTCTTCCTTCAAAGCAAAGTAACCAAGATATTTATAGAATTGTGACCTATTTCTAGTTATTTTGAATGAATATTATAAAAGTTTCTATATCATTAATTTTTTGCCAATGTTATATTGAATAAATGCAATTTTTAGTGACAAAAAAGAAAATTGCAAAAATATTCGTAATAATCAAATGATTAAGCAGTCATTGTTCTGACCCTGAAAATTGTTTTTGATTAACTAAAATTTCAGCAAAATCATATGCACTTTGTATTTAACAAACTTGGCTTCTGTGATAATTTACTATACTTTTAATTTGTGTAATAATTATATAATATTCTAACATATCTAAAAACTATGAATTATGCTAATTATTAATTAATTATGATTATCATAATTTAAGCCCAAAAACAACCAGCTTTTAGATGAATTGATTGTACATATATATATATTTCAAAAAGAAATATTTCTAAAAACTTGGCTAACATTTTGAGCAGGTTCCATCATTGGAGGTTAAACTGTATTATATTGTATAAACATATACATGCATAAATTTAATGTGTGACTACTAATTAATCATGTTATTTTATATTATTTAGTTTAAAAAAAACAAAAAGAATAAATGGAATGCATACAACTGAAGTGTAGCCCAAAATTTAGTTAAATGAGTTTTGTGTGTATGGGTAAACTTTGTGAATATGAACTGTGAATGGAGCTTAGAACAAATCTTGTTTTTACAAAATTTATTAAAACAAAGCCACAAATTAATTATTTTTTAGCTAAAGTAGTTAACCATTATAAAAACTAAATTGTAATTAACTGACATTTGGGCCATCCTGTAAGTTAATCAAATTCTATACTTTGCTTAGAATAAGCACAAAATTTTAATTTAGCTTTCTCAGAACTGTATTAAAGGAAACTTTCATACCTAACACTTTAGGGGTGTTAGAATAGTTAAAAATAATACAATAAATTATATACATATGTTGTGTCAAAGTTTCAACATAAAATTTTTTATAAGGTATTTCTACAAGCAACTTTTTTTTAAATTTAAATTATGGATAAAATATTCTGGTCAGTAAAAGACAGTGAAGTTTCCACAGAACAAAGCTGCTTCTTATACACACATTATTATACACATTCCTGTGGGAAACGATTAAAAGTAGACAGACAGCTTCTGAATTACCTTTAAATTGTAAGTTAACATGTTTTTGAGTCATTCTTTGCGATATACCAAGAAATACAATTGCAAAATCTTTCTTGGTATTACATAGTATAACTTGAATTTTTCAAAGATTAATATTGTATAATGGCATATATTTTTTAATTGAAAGTGAAGATAAGTTTATAAAGTATTAAATACAGTATATTTATTGTAAAAATACATATGCGAACCAAATAGTTCTTATGAATATTTACTAGAAAACAAATATTTTATTTACAAAACACTTACACAACCAAAACATCAAACTTTGTTTTGTTTCGTGAATTGTGTTTTCGTTGTGTAAATGTTTTGTCTACTATCTGGTATTTAGTGCATTTATTTTATTTACTCTTGGGATATTGCTACATCTCAATCATTTAACAGTATATCGGAATATCATAAGAGAACAACTTTGAATAGACAAAAGTNTAAATGGAAGCATCGATGAACATACAGATATTTTATGATGTTTTCGAAATAAGAAAATAAATAAATAAAAATAAATTATGCCCCACGGTGCTTCGATCAAGCACTAACATTGTCTAGCAAGTGAATTGAACATTTATTGAACATTTATTTTATTTACTCTTGGGATATTGCTACATCTCAATCATTTAACAGTATATCGGAATATCATAAGAGAACAACTTTGAATAGACAAAAGTAAAAATATCTTAATTAAAATTGTATAATAATGAACTTTTTAATTAAAAAAAATAACCATAGATATATGGCTAAACAAATATTGAACTGAAATATATAACAGCCAGATATATATGTTGATTATCTGGCAGTTTAATACTTGTGGTAATTAAAAACCCGAAAATGAATTTGTACCAAAGTATGCAAATTGAATTGCATCTTACTGGATATTCCATTAGGAACTAACAAATTAACATCTGCAGCTACAATGCGAAGGGAAAACAAACCAGTCATATTTAATCTTTCCATCAATGTCCAACGAGCGCATTTTTACTTTCGAATATTTCTGAATTCTTTCAACAACACGACTCGACGGTTTGCTGCAAAATAAATAAATAAATGTTAGTTTTAAAATATTAAATTTATAATAATAAATTATAGTCTGTGTTTGCTACATAATAGAATTGAATGTTGGCAAGTTACATGATTTTTTTTTTGGACAATAAATTGAAATAACGTGTAAGGACGTTCACGAATTATTATATACAGTAGTTGTAATTATGTCGTCAACAGGAATTATTAAAGAAAAATGCCAGGTAATCATATAAAGCATCGATTTGACTAGAAAATCATCATGTTTTAATAATTATATCTTACTTATTTGTTAATATATGATAAAAAGCTGTAAAGAAGGAAACAACACAACATTAAACGAGTCATTTCGCTATGATCCAACAATTAGTACTCTAAAATAGTTCTTTATCAATTTTAATGCCATTTATGAACAATAATCTTAACCCTGTAGATTAGGCGGTTTGTACTTAAAAAGTGTGTGACTAATTTCCTGCGGAACCCGGTTAAGAAACAGGTAACTTCCTATTACAAATATTTTAACATTAAAACTTCCAAACAACGACCATGAAAAATGGCTGCTGTTTGAAGGTTATTTTGTATGCATTTTTGTTTAAAACATGCTACCATTAATGGAGTTCGACTGTAACTTCATTTTCAGGTCATTCTCGTGTATAATTTTGACACGTGAAACTTCAGTTGGAATTCGGTTAGCTTATTTAATCCTTCATTTTTATGGCTCGAAAGGTTATCTTAATTATTCAATTTGAAAGGATAAAAATATGCATTTAAACATATAAAAACATGTGCATTTAAGGCTATCTTATATAAAATTTAGTACAACTCGGAATTAATTAGTGGTTACCTAAGGGGAATTTTAGTAATTACGAAAGATGAGTATTTAATTACTTCAAGGTCCCTTTAGATTTCGCTCATTAATATTACTTATAGAACACTTGGGGATTCTTGGAATGCGTTGCGTATATCAATAACACATTTATGTATCATGCTAAATGAAGGAAATCGAGATGATAACGTGTTGCTCCGATAATATAAAGTAGCTTATTTATACAAGACTTTTTTATCCATTTGGGAAAACCGATAGAAAAACTAGTTTTTCGTTAAGAAAAAAGTAACCTCATGATCATTATGGCAATGGGGATTTTTAGAATTTTAATTAACTCATTTAACAGGATTGTTTTTAATACTTATTGTTGTTCTAATTCTATAGATGTAAACTCTCGTATTATTTTTAAAAAAAAATCATATTTTAAGAGGCGATTTGCCTGAAGCAAAAATTCCGTCATTGAATATTTCTATATCTGAATTTTGAACACGGATATTTCTCGATGTTCCTTTCATACAAAAAATGGGTAAATGACCCGAACCGGTATGTTTTTTAAACAGATTTCGAAGGTTTCTAGTATAAGAAGCCGTGTTTTAGTGGTAAATCACGCGATCAACCTAACATAAATCAGTGAAAGTAGGGCACGTGATGTAATTCCGCTATTGACCTACTAATACTGGACTAACCTGCATAATTGTATCGTTAACGGCGTTTTGATCACGTATCGCCATTCGCCATCGTGTTTGATAGCTGCCTTAGCAGATAACACTTTCTTCTCTACGGGACATAAAGATTCCTGGCAAACACTCCTAGATACTCTAGAACGTACGGGTGAACGCAGGATCATCTCTTCTGGAGGTTCTTGCAGCCCTTCACGTTCATCCATGAACAGCGAACTAAAATTAAAATTTCCTTTCTGCAAGATTTTCATGATGAGATCTCTGTAATGAATTTAATTTTTAGAATTTCGTCTCAAAATTTTCTCTGTAATGATAGACTTCATATTTGGTTTACTTACGCAGGATAGTCATTAATTTCTTCGCAGTATGTTTGATCTCTGGGTTGACAGTCGGGTCTAGAACCAGGTTTGGCTGGCAAATATATTCTGTCTTGGACGGGCTGTGTCCATCCAACGGTCAAAATAGCGATTAGAAAGGTGAAGTACTGCATTTCTTTTGGAAGGAAAAACGAAACTGGAATGCCTATATAGGAATGAAGTGGGGGGAGGAGCGTGTAACTTTCTTGGGTAATCCCCGAACTGGACAACTGATGAATGTCCAGATCGTGATGGGAAGTCCTAAGATTGCCCTAAAGGTGACATATCATTGTTTTTTTACAATTTTCCTTTCTTAGGTGTCATATATATGATGAGAAAAGAATGTAAAAAGAGAGGTGTACGAACGAGAGCATCGTTCTAAAAAAGCTCACCGTGCATGATCTTTCCGCACGAGTGTCATAAATACAGGCGAACGTTTTGTTCATAATGTAATTAAATGGAAGCATCGATGAACATACAGATATTTTATGATGTTTTCGAAATAAGAAAATAAATAAATAAAAATAAATTATGCCCCACGGTGCTTCGATCACGACAGGTTTTCCTTGACAGTTTACGTCACGCAGCTACTCCCCATTGACCGATTGTGAATGATGAGCGATGACGTCACATGCTGGCTACCTGCCATCTCTACGCTTCAGTTTACGTTTAAATTTCGAACGAGGAATTCCTTTTTGTTTAGTTACATGACGTTATTTGCGTGGGAAAATGCGGGGGGTCGAGAGAGATTATGAAACTTGGAGGTTTTCGCACCTGGATAATTGAACGATCCGAGAATCATTTCATTGTATTCATTATCCTTTTCTAGGAACGGAGAAGTGTACTTTTAGATTCTAATCTTTTTTGATAGAGGACGAAACTGTTAAATATGGAAATTTCGATTGTTTTAACAACCTCGGAATAAATTGATGGCTGAAGGGTTCATGTGATTAAGGTATTCAGTCTGTCATTCTAGAGGATCCGGGTTCGAATTCAGGCCGGAATTCAAACTTTTACGTGTGATTTGGTCCGGGTACATCGATCTTTTTCTCTCACGTCTTAGCCTCCCCCCTGTGGACCATGGAAGGTTATCTAAATGCTCTAGGCAGTGTTAAAATATCTTATTACTAACTGTTCTAAATCAGCTAATCAAATTTGATCATACAATTGATAAAAACTGTAAATTTCTCTTTACAGAATGATTATAATTTTTTTAGATCTTCGTATAAACTTTAATATATAATAAAAATCTTTATAGGAACTGAGAGAAAATGGCGCCCAGACCGTCAAAAATGAGACACCTCATCCTCTCCAAATACGATAAAAATAAAATCGCTAAAAGAAATAAAAATATAACATTTTATTTTGATAAGTAGTGAAATATATCACTTTCGTATGCATTTTTACGAAAAAGGTTAAATTTGGGAGCCTTCTGTATTCGGTGCGCATGCCAAAATTGCTTTGTTGATCCATTTTTATCTAGAGCTGGATTTTTAATGTTTTTCTCTTAAATTTCTTGAAGCCGGATGGTTAAGGCGGTTAAACATCAGCCTACTGCTCTGGAAGACCGGGGATCGAATACGGGCTAGCGATGTCCAGAAATTGGGGTGGTCTATACATGTCGGGTCCCATCCTTCACCACCCGGCTGCTTCCATTGTAGGCCTGGCCGAATCCACGATGGGTATAATTTTAAAAAGACCCTCTTAGTTGGGGTGGAAAAATATTTAAAAAACCGGTTAAACTTCCTTTGAAAGTGAACTTAATGGTTATACTTTACGTCTTCCAAATTAAGACTTTATCTAATGAGAAAGCAATTACAAAAAGTTTCGGAGACTATAACTTCTCCCTTGGAATCTCTGTACTTCTAGGATAACTCACGCCTTATAAGTTACAAATACTAGTCTGTATTATATCTTTGTTGTTCAAAGAAAGACAGAATTAATATAAGGTCTTGAAAAAATGAGATTAAAAAATAAATGAATCTGTATTCTGTTCCCATCCAAAGCTAAATATTGTGTTTTAAATATATTTGGTAACAAATATATTCAATACACAAGCATATTTTCTTTGGTTTGGAATTTTGTTTCTATATATTGATGATAATTATATATAAATATATATAAAAATGGATATGTATGTCCCTATATTTCACTTTTCCGCAAAAACTACATATCGCACGTGAATTGTGTTTGTATGTGGTGGTAGTCCCAAGTCTCCATTCGTGCATAGGGGTGGTTGCGTCTCGATAGCTATAAGTGTGCGGGAGATATGAGGCTGAAAGTGGTTGAAAGTGGCTTTCTATTTCGAATGTTTTGTTCGATTTTTTCGAATTTGTTCGAATTAAATTCGAACATAAAATTCGAATTGGTTCGATTATAGAACGATTGAAAACGTTCCAGAAACGTTGAAATTTGTTCGTTTGACTAAACGTAAAAATTCTCTAATTAGTCTGGAAACGGGGGACCTAATTCTTGCATTCTGTGAAAACGAGTAAGATTAGCTATAATGTAATTATCTTAATCTTCACTATCGTTACTTTTTGCCCAGCGAAGCGGGTCCTTGCAGCTAGTTATATATAAAAGTTTAACAATAAAAAAATATTGTTATTGGCATTTATAGCTAATCACACGAAAAAACAATAAAAAAATATAACTAATTGTTAAAGAAAAGTTTGATTAATTTTGAAAAAAAAGTCTTACGAAAATTCTTATTTTTTAAACGTGAAAGAAGAAAATAAATTAGAAAGTTTGTTTAGATGTAGAGTGTTCCTCTGTGATGAATTTTCTTGAGAATTCATCACAGGAACATTTTGAATCACATACCAGATACATATTTGCCATCTCTAACTATATTTAAATGTAAGAAAATGAAAACAGTTTTTAAATTTTTATATTGATGATCTATAGTGATCATCACTATAAAGATGGCAGCTGATTTATTATCTGCCATCGTTTGGAGGTTAATTTGTATGCATTTTTGTTCAAAAAAGCCGAAAAAATGGCCACTGCTTAGAGGTGGCCGTTATTGTATATACCAGGGGTGGCCAACCTGCGGCTCGCGAACCACATGCGGCTCTTCGAAGGATTATTTGTGACTCTCGATAAATGTACTGTACCCGAGTTCCCTTTTCATTTTTGTGTTATTATATTTTAAAAAATTATTATCGTCCGTATGTGTTTCAAATGTCTTTTAAATTACTAACAAAAAATATGAAAGACTAAGTGCAACGTTGTAACAAATTTCATTTCCGTCCAAGTTAAGAATGATATGACTCATCGAAAACTGCGCGAACGAACATAAACAGTGGCGTAATCGTCCGTTATCGACCGACTCGAGACCGATTTTGAATTTGTAAACTGTCATTGCAATGGACAGTTGACATTGTGCTCTGGAGGAAACAAGTTGTATCACTCTTTCTACGGATATATTTTGTAATTGGAATTTTTTGCATACCTTTAATTGCGGCTAGCGAAAAATTTCAATTTTGAAAAATGGCTCGGACTATCAAGGAGCTTGGCCACCCCTGGTATATACTGTACATTTTCTTATAGATCCATGCAAATATTCAATAGAAAAGATTCATTATAAACTTTTTTGTATTTAAGTTGTATAACTTATACTTTACTACACAGTGTGACTTACATAGTACTTAGAAATTACAACACAGAATACTTCGAATGATATATTAAATTTTCATGCAAATAATTTGAAATAAAACTTGTTTACAGAAATATTAGATTCGATTATAACGAGGTTAGAGAACCTGGTGTGACATTTGTAGGTGGATGTGCTCCTGCACAGAACAGGACTCTCGAGGACAGCTTCATTTTTTAATCTAAGAATTTTGATCGACACCTCCACCATTATTATCGACACCCAGATTCCTTTCTAGAGTATAACATCATTTTTTTAAATGATGATACGACACGAGAAGTGTCTCGTGACGGTTCTCGGAAGCTCGACATTTACAGCGAATAGAATTTTGAATGATGCTATCTATAATTATGAGGAGTATGTCTCAAGGTTGTCCTACTAGAGAAAAAAATGTTTTTCTTCATTGTATTTTTTACAGCTTAAACTTTTTCAGAGTATCCGCTCTGTTTTGGCCTTGACTTCTAGTTTTCTGCCGTGTAGTTTCTGTTCGAGTATTTTTGATTTAAGCGGCTCAGGGCGTTTAAACAGCGGGAAAACCCCTGTTTGGTCTTGAAAAAGTGGTTTACGTAGAGTAAAAAATGAAAATTTATGGAATTTTCTGTTGTAATTCGTGTGTAGAGCATAACAGAATGATGATAATATCTTAGACCATTTGTTATACTATAAGGCCCTGTACACACTAGGCGTTTTTCAACATGCGTTTAACGCCGAGCTAACGCGCGTTAGCTCGGCGTTCGACGAGCGTTAGTTCGGCGTTTAGCACTGGCTCAGTTTGGAAATGGACGAGAAAGTAATTGATTGTGTATGCTCTTCCATCGTCGCTATAAGGCAGCACATATATCTCAAAGCGCCCGTAAAGTGCCCGCAAAACGCGCGTTTTAACAAAAATCTATAAACGCGCGCTTGGCGTTTGAGTGTGTACGGCTACATAGAACTCTTGGTTCTTTAAAACGCGCGTTGAAAAACGCCTAGTGTGTACAGGGCCTAAGATAATTACTATAATGAAAGCTATCCATACTATGAACTTTGAGCTAATATTTATAAGTCTCTAAATATGTCCATAAACAATTAATTAAATGTATTTACAACTAGCAGACCCCGCCACGCGTTGTTGTGGCTCAAAATGTATCTATTATAAATGTATAACACTTCCCCCGTGGGGAGGGGGAATTTTTCGAAAAATCCCTTAGTGTACATTTTCTTGACGTACTCTATTAAAACGCAATCAAAAACGCAAAAAACCGCATCTGAAATAGTATAATAGAAGTCAAGTTCTTCACGGTAAGCCTTAATCCTGTCCCTCTGCCCCGCGGGGGGAATATCGAAAAATCCCTTTGTAGTGTATATTCTGTTGACGTACCCTATTAAAACGCAATCAAAAACGCAAAAAACCGCATCTAAAATAGTATAAATAGAAGCAGAGTACTTTACGGTAAGCCTTAATACTGTCCATCTCCCCGGGGGGGAATTTCGACATGTATATTATATTAAAACACGTGCGTATTCGAATGCAGCATTGTGTCAAAATTTCAAAGGAATCGGTAAGAACAAACGAACATTACATTTTTTATTTATATAGATAGATAGATGATCTGCTTTAGTTCATTTTCACAGAAAAGCAAACTTAGGGCGTCGTACTCGTAGCGCCATCTGTTGACAAAAAAGCCTTAACCTAGATTATATATTTTAATTTATATGAATGCTTAACGGAATAATATACAGCCTATGTCCACCCTGAGGTTCCATTCTAAATATTGGTGAAGGAATTTTTGAAATCGGATGAGTAGTTTCGGAGTTACCTGCTGCATACAAACTTACAAACATTACCTCTTTATAATATTAGTGTAGATAATCCAAAGACATCTTAATATATAACTGTAATTATACTAATATAATAACTTTAAACTAGGATTGAGTTTAGATTTGTGACCCTAAGCTATAAAATATATGAGAGCTTCACTAAATAATAACGAATTTTAAAAACTTGGAGCGTTAAACAGCACTCTGTTATATAATTATATATATAAGTTATATGTAGCTTGCTTAGCTTATGTACAAATCAAATCCCGCTTCAAATAAATGAATGTCATTACTCCCGTGTGTTGACAAGTATTGTCTTTCAAAATTTACACAAGTTAAAAGAATTCGTCGTTCAATTATTCAACTTTTATAACACTATCAATATGTCGTAAGATACGATTCAGAAAGGCAGAACGTCAATGTCTGAATAATTTCGATAATTTCTAAGTTAATTTTAATGTACTTAAGCATATATAGCCATCTTCAGTTTTTACTCTTTACCTCGCGGACACTAAGAAGGCTTTTCGTAATCGTGTCCTTCGTGAATTCGATCAAATCTATAATGGAGGGAGCCGAATGGCGATTTGCGTATAAGAGGGCCCACATTGGGTCATCCTACTCTTGAATATTTCCTAGTAGAGCCGAACCCGAACCCGAACCCGAACTCGGATTCTCACAGAATGACAGGCTGGTGCCTTTACTAAACTTTAAAATAGCGCGGTATGAGTTATAACACACATTTGAGTAGGGCGAATTTTTAAGCAATAGCAAAGTATTAAGGAAAATTAATGTTATAAACCAGTTTAAGGGATTTAGATGCGTCAGAATTGTTATAAACAAACAATGCACATTCGATATGTAAATAAAGAAAAGTGTACACACCCAAGATAAGTAATCCAGTTGACGTTTTAATGTCTTTGGTGTGGTTGCAGCCCTGCCTATCTAACTACTAGATTTAGTTGTAACAACACACCTTATATGGCTATAAACTGGGTTATTAATAATTTTTATATATGCTCGATCCACGAGTGATAAAACTTCAAATGTATAAACGAATATTTTAATAGCATATTATATATGGTTATGAAATTTATGCTTTAAAATTCTGTTTAATCTTCGAAATTTTAATGCTCCAATTTCAAATTCATTTAAAGGGTGGAAGTTATGATTCTAATTCTGAGTCATAATTTCCGCCTACAATTAAGCGGCCATAATTCACAAAAATCAAGGTTATGTACAGACATTTCGAGCATAAAGTGAATGTATTCGGAGATACGCTAAAATTTTTCTTTATATGCTGTTTAATATTATTATGTTTTGAGACGGCTTAATCTTAAAAATCTTAATTTTTGAATAATTTTTTGAAATAGTTTGCTTTGGCATCTACAGATGGCATACCAATCTCAATTTTCACATTTCGTGAAATGTTACTATTTGCATAATTATTCATAATACTAAAATATGAAATAATATATTTTAAAGCGATAAAAATTATAACTTTATCGTCTTTTTTATTATTATAAACAATTAAATGGAATTTTAAAATAATAAATAATTACGTGTTTATTTATTAAATATTGTTAAATACTGATCATATTAATAAATATTTTTAATCAGATCACGTTGTTAACAGTTTTTTTTAATTGTGTTAGGAAACATAATCACATTTTTGAAATTTAAAAATTAAAAAATTTAATTATATTTATAACTTTTACAAAGAAATTTTAAAAAATAAAGATGGCGCCGTTTAATTATATCTCACTCCCTCTAACGGTTCCTGAATATAATAAATATAATTTATTTAATTTAATATAGTGAGAAATTAGAATATATAATATAATTAAAAACATTATTATTATTAATGTTTTGAGTTTGATTTATCATAATATTTATGAACGGGAATAATAAAATAAAAATAATCACTTCCGTGTGATGATTATCATAATTGTAATTGATGTTTCGCCGAGAACAATTGATTTGAAACTCGTTGAACTATTTTTAAATTGCTACCTTCAATATCATTATCACCTAAATCCTAAATGGTAAATTAACTTTCATTACTCCGATAACAAACAATAGAAGATAGAAGATAGGAACAAGAAAATAAATTTTAATCAAGAACAAGTTGTACATCACAAAATTTGGGCAACCAGCCAGCTTTTAACCAGTAAAAAAACATGTTTATTATTCGGACAGAACTCATTGTCGAGCATCCTAATGGCATTCTTGTTCGGTTTAATGTAAAGATTTCTTTCGTCGCTCGTTAACAAACCGTCTCAAAACATAAACACATTCACGTAATTTTGAAATGATTTATTATCTATTATAAACAGTAACTGTGGCCTTCATCCACAGATTTTATAGAGTAAAAAACAAAAAAAATTCCACTAAGTCTGTTGGAAATTCGTTTAGGATATATGTCAGAGAATGGCGAAATTAAATCTGTGCGTGTAAATTTGATCATTTAATAATTCTTTATGAGATTACGATGATTATAGTTTAATGAAACTAATTGTCAACACTTTTATTCAAATAAATTGATGTTTCTATTTTATTCATTTATAGTCCAATGCTTTGTATGAATGTATTAAGGATTAGTGCTTTAAGTTTCATGATGTATTTTATGTACACTTTTGGCTTAAATTTTATAATTTTAATGGGTTCGAAATAATTTTTATTTATAATATCTCTCAATGCAGTCAATCATCGACAGCCCGTTTCTATATATTGTCGTTGTTTTCAGACCGAATTTACACATAAACAAGTTACAATTTTGGGCGTCATGTAATAAAGGTGCAGTTTAAATACTCATTCTAACGCTTTTAAATTTATTATTTGGTTGGTGGGCAAGGCCTGTTATAAATAATTTAGAGTTAAGACATCCAGGCACTGAAAATCATTAAATTACAACTTAGATTCAGGGATCCCAAACTCAAACAGCAAAGGACCAGTCAAATAGATATACAGTATATGTATACAGATATACGGCTCGCGTCTGTATATCAGACGCGTCTGTATATCAGACGCGAACCGTATTCACTATTATTAGGTAAACCAATACATACTGTACAGAGCCGGCCTTACCATAGGGCGAACGGAGCAGCCGCTCCAGGCGCTAAGTCCTAGGGGGCGCCTAGTGGTAAAGAAAATTAAATGGTACAAATTAGGGGCAACCAAGGGGGCGCCATAATAGGATCTCGCTCCATCCTAAAACTTTCCTCGGGCCAGCACTGATACTGTTAACTAAAAAAAAAAGCCCTTTGTTGGTAAGTTTTTACGAATTACGTAAACAGTTAGAAGTTTGAATTTTTCTGTTTTACTTCCCGCAAGAAGTTAAAAATATTAATTTTTAGAAAAGAAATTATTAAGGCCGCAGGTCGCAGTTTGATACCTCAGGGGCGGATCTACATAGGGACTAATAGGGCTTAAGCCCTGGTCCCCCAAGTGTCAAGGACCCAGAAAAATTGAATTATTATCATAAATTTTTAATACTTTTTCATTAACGATGAGCACTTATTATATAGTAAAAAATGGTTAAAATTAATAATATAATAATAATTTATAGTATTATTTGTTTTATTGTAATCAATGTAACGTAATTGGTCAGGTCACGAAGTTGCAAATTTAAACCCCAATTTAAAGATACTTAATCTAACAAAAAATGATGCTCCATTGGACTTCAATAAGCCCTGGAGACCCCTGACTTAGAACCTCAGCAAATTGAATCAGAGCTTCGCCATTTCTAATAAAACTTCCTGTGTGCTGTCCTTCCCTCGCCAACTCCTTTAACTTCTTTACTTGCATAAAAGCGAAATGAATGGCGTTTATTTTCGATTTCAAATATTATGTAAATCGTATAGTTTTGAATAAATTAATAAACAAAATTAGGTTATATATGCATTTTATCAAGATACGTGACCTATATTATAAGTTGTTCAGATTTACTACAATGAAACAAAATAGCGATTGTGTAAATACTTCTAGATGCTACCAACTTAATTATATTGGAAAAAATATTGCATTTTGCAGAAATTATTTTACTGCAATTTGATAATTTCTTAGGGAAAATAGACTTAAATATTTTATAATTTTAATTATAAAAAATGTTTAACTTTTACTCTAGTACAGCTTTAAATTATCAAAATATCGCCAACTTTTTAAAGAATTTAGATTACTTGAACGATAGAAAATTTTTATCTACAGAATTTCCATTGTTTTAGTATTATTTTATGTTAACCCAATTCATGTCGATGGTAAATCATTATTGTAACTGAGTTACATAATCCGAATTTTGATATATACATTATTGTTTGACCTAATTAAATATTGTTCTCAATTTTATCTAGGAAAATAATCTAAAATTCTCTCATGAATTTTAATTTATTACTTTAACCAAATTAATTGTTATCGTTTGTGAAGGGAATCGCGCAAGTTTTGTGTTAAAATTAGTTTTTTACATTGTTTTGATCTAATGACTGGTTTTTACTTAATGCACTGTGACGAAATTCGAATTTTCCAATAATATCACATTTCTCAACTTTTAAATTTTAAAAATAATCGTCGTAAGAATTGCTTGACGTTTTAACTTTTGTCTTAGTGGCGCCATCTTGTTTTATAAAATATTTAAAATGGCTCATTCTAGAATTTTATTCAAATTTTGGGCAAAAATTTAAAACCACGCGCTTAAGTTTAAAACACGAGTTAGGGAAAATCCCGTAGCTCAATTTTCAGTATCCCAGCTTAACGAATAAACTGAAACTCGAGCGTCCTTCGCACAAAACAGCATTCCGTCCGTGATACATTCGAACCACACCCTGAACTCCACCTAACATCCAGGGGCAAACACGGGCTGCAATAATAATAATAATATTTTATATGTATAAAAAAAAGATTACAATCTGTTTCGGGGGTAACAAAAAGCAAGGGCCGAACGATAAAAATCGAATCGGAAAAGCTTCACGTGACCAGATCCCGTTACGTCACCGAAGAAATTGTGTCAAGGGCGCCCTCTGGCGGTTGGAAATGATAACACAGGAAAAAGAAATAAATTCCGCTTAAAATCGCCAAGAATAAAAATTCGCTACAGATAAGTCGAACGTGGCTCCTCCTGTCGAATGTTAAGTGTACTAATACTCCCCGCGAAAGATGTCATTGACGCAAATTTTGAAACTGAAGGTTTGAAACAGTATCAAGGACCGGACTAAAGGGTTGTTGGCCTTGACGGCTTTTGCAAAAGTAGATCGAGTGTAAGGAAGAGATGTAGACCAGATGTCGGCGGTACTTCGACCGAGCCACCTACAGCCATGTCCGCATCGCAGGTAAGTCTAGTTTATACGATCGCGATTGCGGTTCGCGTGCTGCCGAGGTCAAGGGCAATGCCAATTTTTTCACTTCTAAATCATGCGGATTCGGTTTATATTATCCAAGGGGTCACGATATATGACAATTTACCTTTTCCGTAGCCATAAAAATCTTGTTAGAGCGGTTAGAAAGTGCTCTTAGAAAGAAATGAAAACCAAATTTCTTTTCGAGACACCAAAGAAGTTATACAAAGTTACTTTTATAAAATATTAAGCAAAAGCAATTTAAATATGTAAATTAACATGAATTAATGTTGATACATTAATTTGATAAGATTTCCCTTTCATTTTCAAGGAAAACGGAAGATAGAACCTCCCACCATAAAGTTTTTTTTTATGACATTAACGAGATTTCTATCGCATAAATAATTCATTTCATATTTTCTCAGGTACGTTGGTTGATCTGTCTTCTACCTCTTGTTATTGCTGGTCCGGGGCCCGTTTCGCAACCGGTATACCGTTCCTATTCGAGCAGTTACTACTATTCGGATTATTCGTTTTCCAAAAATCCACACAAACATTCCTTCCTTCCTGGACCTCAATATTGCCCCGATACGGGCAGGACGGTTTGTAAGAAGGTGTTTCACTATCCGCAGTGAGTATACAATCATTTATTTAAATGTATTATTTAGAATATTAATGTTCTCGAGCACTGACTGTTTTTTGGGTCAATGTTTGCCTGGTGGGTTGCATGCGAAGGTCGCATTTGAGACAGGTGTGATGGAGAATAAATAGACATTCACGATAATTCTCACGTGTCTTTTTTCCGTGTTGTAAATTAGCTGAAAAATCTTGATTTTGTTATTTTTCTAGATATTCAAATTCGATAACAAGGAGTTAAAACAACGAAATTTTTGTTAGAAAAGTTTTAAATTCCGGTTTTAATTTTTATACTTTTTGTACATTACAATAACGAGTTTAACAAAAATTGAAATCATTTATTAATAGTAATAAAAGTAATAATTACGATAATATTAAAACATTCGACTTTCAATTTTATGAGGTTTAAATATGTATTAATTAAGATTACGTTTTAACTGTGATATTTTAGTTATTAAAATATAACCGGAAACAAACTCGAAAAATTTTGAAAGCTTATTAAAATACTAAACTTTCTTAATTGTTTAACTTTTAATTAAAATTAGAATATTGAAATTAAGATTATTCAGTATAAACCGCTTCACTTCTCTTCAACGTTTTAAAATGCGTAGAAAATAGAAGGAAAAAATAATTGTAGAATTTATTACTCAGGAAGATTATTTACAACAATACACAGAAATTTATATTTGGTTAGAAATGTCCTTTAGTACATTATTTATTACCTTTAGAAGCGATGGCGTGCATCCCATCACGTCGCACATCTTTCTACAATGACAAACTTTCTAGTTTCTTATTTCCTATAAAATTTGCAAATATATAACATTCAGTAGCTTAACGGATATAAGGATTTCATCTACCGAATGGAATACTCTTTATTAACAGATATTATAGATAATAATTTTTAATATCTATTGATAGATGCAATTGATATCTAACATTGATACTAATCCCAATTGCGTCGCATCACTGTGTTCGAAAATATAAAATATTAACTTAAGTCATACAATAGCATTATAACAATTAGAATTTGAATTTAATAATGAATAATAGGAGTCTTTTCATTTTTTCCATTTTTCTGGCATTCGAAGTAGCAATGCTGTGAAAATTTTCCTTATGAAATCTTTAAACCTCATAATGTTCTAGCGACTAGCAATTCACCTATAAATGTCTATATTCATGTATAATATTGAAAAATTTTTGATAATCTTTTCTATGTGAGTTACAATCTTCTAATCTAATTGAGGAAAATCCAATGACTAAAACTATTCATTATTAGTTTTGATGAGCCCTGCGTTGCTCGGGCAAAAAGTAACGATATCAGAGATTAAGATTATTAGATTATGGCCGATCTTACTCGTTTTCACCGAGTACAAGAATTAGGTCCCCCCTCTTCTGAGACTAAGTAGAAAATTTTTAGATATCTGCTTACAACACTGGGATAACGATAATTAAGATTCACAGCAACCACTAACCGGTGCGTAGTATCACCAAGTGATGAATAACAAACGTTTTCATAACCTCTTCTGGGTTCTTCTTCAAGTTTACTAAATTCGAAAATTAAGCTGGATCTTTCCGAATCATTCATAAATATAAATTCGAACATAAAATTGAACATTAAGACGAGGAGTTCGAATAAAGCAAACTTATGCGCTCCCGTGTCAACTTTATATACGATGGAACACTAAGTATCGTTGAGAATTTTTAGAAGGGTTTAAAAATATGTTCGATTTCCCGCATAAATACAAAAAAGACATTTAAAATAGTACGGTAGAAGCCGAATTCTTCCGGGTCATCCTTAATCTTCTCTCTCTCCCCCGCGATGGGAATTTCGAAAAATCCCTTCTTAATGTACATTCTCATGGCATACCCTATTAAAACGCAATGAAAAATGCAAAAAAAACTGCATCTAAAATAGTATAATAGAAGCCGAGTTCTTCACGGTAAGCCTTAATCCTGTCTCTCTTCCCCGCGGGGGGAGGAATTTCCAAAAATCCTTTCTTAGTGTACGTTCTCGTGACGTACCCTAACTGTTTACCAAATTTCAACTTTCAACTCCTAACCGTTTGGGCTCTGCGCTTATTATCATTATCATTATCAACCTATCTCGATTATATTATAAGATATATATATTTAAAGAGAGAGATTAGTTTTGATATAATTAAAATATTCTTTAATTCTAGCATTGGAATTTGATTTTAATTGTTATAATTTTTTGACACATTAGCAATGAAGCTGTAGAAGCTGTCAGCGGGACTAAGACTCCAAAGTTTAACTTCAGCAGCGTTTTTGTAGATGAACGAGATGGCGATGCCGAACCCGATCCAACTCAACTTCCGGATAGGCCTCCAGGCCACTATAAACACGACGGATATATTGTATACCAAACATCCGTTCACTACGATTATCAAGTTCCCAATACTAGACGATGGGGTTATGATCCACCTTTCGTTCATCCCATACCACCTTACCATAGGAGAAGGTTTGTATATTTTACTATTAGAACATCATATAAATCATTTGTTTATAATGTGTCCTGTAATTTAAGGGGTATCGTTAAACGAAACGAAGACGAACAACAAGCTTGTCCGGTCAGAACCATGTTCATCTCTCCTAGAGCCGGACTCAATGACAAATCTCAGTGGAAGTTCATAATCAACGTAGCCGATCGAGATCCTAAGTTTAAACAAATTATAAGAGTCGACGTTTGTGCGTAAGTAGAACCGTTTAGAATATTTTACAAGTAAATGCGTTCATTTTAATTTGAATGCTTTTGTGAATAGGGCACCCGATGAGCCTTGTTCGTCGCAAGTTTCTCTACCCTTAGGTTACGTCAGCAGATGTCGTCAGAAATATATTAAGAAAAAATTATTAGCGTTGGATGCAGATGGACAAGGAACATCAGAAGAGAATTTCTTTGTACCCTCCTGTTGCGTTTGTCACTTGGTTCGAGAGACAGATGCCAAATAACAACATTCAATTGTTCTGGCTAGTCACATTGCGTTCAGTATTCATTATTCGATATCAGGGATGTTTACGCCAATCACAGATGTATCGAGATATAATTTTATAATTTTGCTGTACAGACTGAAATAGCTTTATTTTATTTTTCTTTAGCATCTCGTTACGTATGATGATAATCACTGGCAAAAATTCATAGAAAATAATATAAATTGTTAAATACTTTTTTTAAAATATGAAATGAAAACATTTTTGATTATTAAAATTTTTCAAGTTTTTGTAACGATTGGCAACACTTACAATAAATTACCATATATGGAGGATTTCCCTAACGAAGAAATTATCTAATAGTTAAGATAGTTTAAATGAACAAATATTTAAAAAAAAACAGTAAATAATAAACTAAAATTATATTTTATAAATATTTTACAAAAAATATATTATTACAAAATTATTAAGTTTAAAAAAAATCGTGTTTTAGGGAATTTTTATCTATATTTAGGGAAATTTAAGGATCTCGTCACAATGCTGTAAAATCAGCTTTTATATAGAAAATTCGCTTTGTTTTTAATTTCTCGCTATCTTTATTTACTAGTTCGTTTCGATAAAATTTCGTCATAATTTCATTACTTTTCAACTGCCCACATTTAAATGTTAGTATGTAATAAGGTTTACTAATGAGGTCATGGACAGTAGCATCGTTTTCTTGAATGAAATGCCTAGTTTTGTAACTCGTCTGACAAAGTAGGCGTTTGAGGCTGCGGGTGTTCAGCCAGAATTAGATTTTTATTTTAAAAAAATTTATATATATATATATAAATATATTTGTAAACAAAGAAAACAAAACTGTCGCAGGCGATCACTTACGATTAAATCCCTAAAATAATGTTTAGGGATATTTATAGAAATAAATTCAAACACTAATTTAATAATATTAAAAAGAAAAAAAAATCCAAACGAATTTTAAAAAATTTGTATACGTTTCAAGAACAAAATAAATATATAAAAGTGAAAATTGTAATTGTTTTATTATTATTATTATTATTACGCAAGTTTATAATATGGCGGAAGTATGACGTCACAATTTCATTGACATCGGAATGGATTTGAGTGGCGTCATTGAATTATAACGTGTGGTCATTTTAAACGTCGTGACGACTGACTTTTATCTGTTAATTATAATCGGGATTGAGTACACGTCGCGATAATTTGCCATAAAAATTAATTTCGACACGAAAAGATCAATCACGAGAACGTCAACTTATTTAAATTCTGTTTTATTTATTATTTATTAAAACAATATTCGTCCTTTATAATCGTTGATTAACGCGGCTTTTTTGTTTGCAAAACATGTTTTGTAAATTTCAAATAAATCATCGCGTGTAATTAATTTAAAATAACCTTTTTAAGCTTAAAGTCAAGGTTTAAAACTAGTCTTTAATGTTTACTAATAAATTTAACCGCTTTGTATTGGAACTAGATCTGCTAAAAGTTATAAAAAAATTTTTTTAAATTCTAGTTTTGGTTTGTTATCAAAATTGATTTATTAGATTAACTTGTTTTTTTTTTCTCAGTTTTTTCCAGAACTGTAAGATTGTCAGTTGAGGTGTATGAGTTTATTCTGGTACAAAACTAAGGGGTTTAATCAGTTATGATCTTTAGCCTTGGTTCTACTGTTAGGAGGTAGAACCTAATAACCAGGTACCAAGGCTACTGTTTTCATTGCAAGGTTAATTTTTGGTATATCTTTAGTACGGACTGAGATAAGTGAGACTTAAACCCTAACGTGGGACTCTATATTTGTGAAGGGCTCATCTACTATATTCTTACACATACAGTATGTAGTATATGTGTGTTGTGTGTGTGCGTTTTCTCTTGAAACATTTATAAATGGGCCTCACGCTTTTTCGAAAAAGATAAAAAGGTATGAATAAAATTAATAAAAACAGATTATTTTATCTCTTATTAAAAGGAATTTTAATTTATATCACTTTTATATCGGACTTTTATGTAAAAAACTAAATTTTTGTCTTCTTTATATCGTTTACACCTCTATTTTAACCGGAGCTTTAAGTTTTAATGTTTTAAAACTATAGTTATGTTACAATTAATCTGTAAACAATTTTTTAAATTTATATTTTTTATTTTAAATTTCAATTTTATTCATCTATTCTATTGGTTTTAATTTATTATTTTTATGTCAGAATTATTAGATCAGCGATTATAAAAGCATTCATTCAAACTATTTAATTCTTATTATTCTTACTTCAAGCTTTATCCTATGATTATTATTTCGTACTCTTGTTTCTATTCTTANTAAATCAAATTTAAAACATTTTTCTTAAAACATATTCTATAAAATTTGTTTTTATGTAAGGAATAAAGTCAAAGAAATTTTAGAATATTTACTGTGTATGCAGGTGATTTGTATTTTCTGTTACAAACTAATATTATTTTTCCATTCAATTTTTAGTTTTTTTTTTAATATTAAATTTTTATCACTTTCAGGCTTTAATTACTTTTATCAGTGCATGTTTTTAAAATGCTAAGACAAATTGTTTGACAAGATGTGCATATTTAATTGCAAAAAATTGATACTTGCCAAGACCAGATATAGATCCAGCATTTATCCATGAACAAAAAGGACCTTAAAATTTAGTTTTCTATGTGATACAAATGAAACTTTCTCATAAGTGGAGAAAAAATGTACATTACTGTATTGATTTTATTTACACATTTTTACAGCTAGCCCTACATCTATAACGTGCATTTATTTCTCTTAGATCGTGTGCTTATCCAAGTTTTAGAAAACAATACACAGTTTAAAGTGGAGTAAATTAATTTTTAAAAAATGCAGAATAAAAAATTATTAAATTTAAATTTATATCGAAGTTAGATTATAAATATGCTTCTTTAATAGATTCATTTGATATAGCCTACCGGTGGCTATATATAAGGAGCATATTAGAGAAACAGTGAACAAAATCACTGAATGCTGATAGTTGGTGCGGGTTTGCGTCTCACTAACTACTGTATTGGATTTGGATTTGATTATTGAAATAGAGCAATGTTAACATTTAGGCGATATGCCAAAGTGAGATGCATCCTGGGAGGATCTTCTATGGAAAAATGGTCGTATTTGACACGTGAAGAAAAACAGGAAAAGTCCACGTGGTCAACCTGTTGGTGAGGTGTGAACCCGCGATCAACTAAAATTACAAGTAGTTTAATTTTTTTACAAACTGCAATGCTTTAAAGCACATAATTTTTCCTTCAATCTAATTATCTCAATCTTCGACATTTATCCGCCCTGAAACTTGATTTTTACTAATACAACCTTGATAGTCCTTGGTAAACCAGGTATATCCTTTATATTACACTTAAAGCCTTGATTTAACCACGATTTAAAGCGTTAAATCACAATTATATCTAACTATTTACGATTTAAATTGTTCAAACCTTGATTTTAATCAAGGTTACTATAGTAAGAACCAAGGTTATACTTCGAGTAATTTGAACCGTGTTGTTCTATACACAATGTCATTAAAGTTCAGTTCAAATACAGAATTTTAAAGATAAAATTTAAAAAAACAAATAATGATACTAAGCGAATGTTTACTAAGAAATCAACGAGTCATTCCATCAACAAATCTTGTAAGGATTCTAATGATTAAACGAAGATAAAATGAAACTTTATTCTTATCGTATAAATAAATAAAAATTTTGAAGGTCAATTGATTTAATTCTATACTAAGAAACAGAAAAATAAAATATAATATAGATTCAATTTTAAAAAATAAAAGTAATTTTATAAAAACGGAAACAAAAAAATGTGGCGCCATCTGACGATATAAATATATATTAACTTCAAATTTAAAATACCTCAAAAAAGTACCATAATTTATAATTTATTTACTTTAATAAAATATCATTATTGTTTAATTATAATTCTTTATTATTTATTTTTATATAATCACACAATTTATAAACGAGACAATTAGCATAATTTTTACTCTATAAAAATATAAAAATGCCGCAATTCCAATTCTCCTTTTCAAAATTTAGGAAAATAAATTTTGCGAAACGACGAAAATACTTCACTAAGTTCTTTCAAATTCATTTTGTCTTTCTTCCATTTGTTTAGATTCTTTGCCGATTTATGACGAATAGCTTGATCGCGATTGCTATTCGGCGACACAGATGCAATTAATGGCTTCTCTTGATTTTCTTTGATCTTCGGAAGGATAAAATCAGATCTGTTTGATTCATCAAGATCCGCAGTCGATACCGCTATCGATTTCTTCTGCTTCGATTCTAATTCCTCATCAGAATTTAACCTTTTACTCGGTTTTTTTCGATTTATTTTAGACAAATCGCATTCCGCTTCGCTTAAATTATTCATAATTATTTGATTAGTTCCAATAGAGGAAATATCTTTAATACGTACTTCCGGTCTACTATTCCGGCCCTTGTTTATCGGAGGTAATATTATTTTATTTCTTGAAAAACACTTATCTTTATTGGTTTTAAAGAGATAATTCAGATCGCCATCCAAAGTTTTCGCATCTTCCATTTTTTCTTTGTTTAGATAACAAACAATAATGCTACTAATTATTTAATCGGTTTTTTTATATATTATTTTTTTTAAATTATTGCAATTTACACGAATGTTATGATCTATTAACAGAGGGGAGAAAAAGTGTTACATGGTCATATAAATATACTTTTTAAAGCAAAACTACGATATTAAATACATTAAGTTCTGAAATATTTTAAATTTGGCAAAGAAAATAACTGGAAAAAATCAAACTTTTATTTATAAGTAGAGAATATAAACAATGTACGGTGTAATTTTTTAATAGAGTGAATAAGAGATTCATATTAGGTTCGATTATGTCATTGAAATAATAATTTAGTTTATTCTCGTTGGCGGCGCTACGGTGCTTGGACGTCGGATGGAAGATGATGAGAGAAGCGTGGATGTGATAAAAACTTTTATCTAAGAAAACATTGAAAAATGAGTCGACTTCACGATCACGGATGTGCGCGGATGTTGCATTGTTTAACGCCATTGACTAGATCATGGGGAATTTTATCGGCTATAGGTAAGTGAAGAGGGGAGGATGGGGATAAAAAACACCCGCTTCGAGCACGCGTTTGACCTTGAATTTTAACGAAACATTCATTAACGAGGAAAAATATATAATAAACATTCGTTAGTTTTAAATTAAAATTCAATTCTTGTACCTTTCCCATTGATTTTATGGACCTAGCAGTTGTTTATCTCGTTAATGTTCTATTTTTAACTTCATAAACAGGATAACTAATATTGGAAACTCGAAAAACTAATCACTTCACTTCTGCATAGACAATTCTAATTTGCACTTCATTATTACATTAACTAATATTCAAATTGTGCCCAGATTTTAATGCATTAATTAAATCCTTTTGATGCAACTCCTTTAAGGATTAAGGTGTACTCTTGTATATAATTTATGAAAGTTCATTCACAGATATTTTCAGATATATTAACTATTACAATAGTTCAGAGACCACATACAGAGGTAAAATCTTTATACATTTATATAAGTGTGACTATAAAGATATATAATACATTTACGATCACTGCATTTTTGTTACACTACTTTGTATACACAATAAAGTGTAAATAATAACTTTGCTTATTTTTATGAGCCTGTTATCAGTTGTGATGTTGAATATAAGTATTTTTTTTTTAATGTAAACAAATTATATTAACATAATATAATAAAGAGTATATTTTAAAGTATATTACTTTAAAATATACTCTTTATATAAAATATAACTGACATTTTTTTTCTACATAATAATGTAATGCTAATCTTAGAACGTTTTGTCCTACATAAATACTGAACTTTTAAGATCAGGTCAAATGGTTATAAAGTATGTGATTGGTAAACTTTTTTCTTTTGTTTTTGGGAAATGATTTTCTATTAAAAAAAAAATACTATTCTTATATATATTTATTACTTAAATAATAATTTTTTTAAATACTATGACAGTTATTCAATTTAAATGTTATGCAAATAAATATACTGCATTTTCTTTTTACATAGTTAATTTATAAAATTGCTTTTAATGCTGGAGTTCTTGTTTATGATTCAAAACATCCTTTCAGTATAATGATCTTGGATGTAATCAACAAGTGATTTATATTACAGTGAAGTAAATATCAGATATTAATCTTGTTCCACTAATATGTACAGATATTTTAAAAATAAACAATTTATAATCATTATAAACTGTTTTGATCACAGTTTTCTTTACTATTGTTTGTCCTTGGATTCTAGTTCGATACATACATATATCGTTTGTTCAGTTTAATTAAATTTACTTTGAAATTACAGCTATTTCTTAATTTAATACATTTTAACATACTGTTTGGCCTACTTATATATTTAACGTAATTATATACATAAAAATTTTAAACTTTTTTTTTTTTGAAGTTTTATTTAGTTTGTAATAACATATGAAAAACAAGAATAAAATAAAAAAAACTAACTTAGCTTTAATTTCAAGTAATTTAATATTACAAAATCATGATTAAAATTATATTTGTAACTTGATACAAATGCATTGTTATCAGATTAAAATATGCAATCTTGTAAGCATCATATAACAGTTATATGAAATTTTCCCTTAGTATATAATAATTTTAATTATTAATCTAATGATAAATTTGATTTGCTTCTACATGAGTTCTTACATTTATTACTTTATCATATAAATTAATTTTAAAAAATTTAGTTTTTTTCTAATAAAAAAATAAAATATTTTATCACTTTATACTTTACTATAAAGTATATTAAAATAACAAATGCATTTATTTTATAGAACTGGTTGTAGACTATTCTAAGTAGAATAAAAATTTCCTTAACAGGAATGCATCTGAAATATTTCAATGTGTTGTCTTTAAGCATATTTTCTGCATTCATGTAGAAAGTTCTTCCATGTCTATCCATCTGAACAGATAACTTAGTTTTGCCTGGGTGCATCTTGATGAAATTCAGTATTAGACTTCCTTCACGAAATTCATTATTCTATCATATTTTAATTTTGAATATCATTGAAGTATAAGATTACTTTATGAGGTTATTAATATTTGCACTGATAGCTAAGAATAAAATGTCATGAATTAACTTAATTAAACTGGAATATTGAAAGCATGTCAAGATCTTTTAACAAAATGAATGATTCACTATCTAATTAATTAACATAAAGTACTTAAAATCTACAAAGAAAATGACTTTGAATGAGATTTAATTCCTACTGTATATGGCAACAGATCAAATTATTGATTGGTTACATACTTGGATTTTATGTGAGAATTGTTGGTTTGACTCCCAATTCCAAGTTATTCTTTATTCAGATTTTCAAAGTAAATTAAATTAGTTTAATTAATCAAAATTATTTGACCATTAAACTAGTCAAGAGATGGTGACATGCATTAAATTAGCCTAATCATTAATCAGATGTATAATTAGTCAGTAATCTCATTTAATTTGCTAGATTATTAATGTTTGATTACATTAGATAATCCTTATTGGCAATAACTCAAGTAGAAAAAGTTAATTGGCATAATTATTTTTTATTATTAGTAGAATGTTATGTAATAAAATAAAATTGATTTCATATATTATTTGTTTTCTTTCATATATCATGGAAATCAAATTTTTATCTTTATTCCTTTATTGAGGAAATTTAAAGTTTAATATATGCTTTTTGACAGTGACTGACTATAGAGTGTTTCAAGTCTCCACATACAGAAAGTTTATCTTATTATACAGTCACTTATAAAGCAAAGAATAAGATATTTATG